TGAGACTGGCACAGAGGCAGCAGCCGAGCCACGCCAGGCTTGGGGACCCCACGGCACGAGCTCGGGGCTCCGCGCTCGCTCTCCTCCTGCGTGGCTGCTCTGCTGGATTTTATTTCCCAGAAGCTCTGCTGACCACGGCTGTTCCTGCTGACACACAGGAGCGGTGGGCAGCGTTTGAGTGCCGGGGCGTGAGGAGGCCAGGGATGCTCCAGGGACCCCGTGTTTGTCCGTGTGTCTGTCCCAAGAGCCGCCAGATCTCGGCTCCCGGCCCCGGGAACCACACGGCTCGCCCAAGTGCCTCCCTTTGTCTCAAGCCCTTGGAGCCTGGAGCACTTGTTGAACCTGACGGCGGCGAGTGCATCAAAGCGGCCGACAATTAGGAAATAAACAAATATCATCGGAGGCGTTTTTGGGCGGAATCCAGTCACACATAGCTGGGCTCCTTGCTGTTGTTATCATATCGAATATTCCTCGTAGCTGTGATATTTGTGCTGTGCAGCAGCGTCCCCGGCACGGCAAACATGGCATTATCTCGCTGTGCAAAGGCTTCATTAATCAAACCAGACAATGGGCCCGACACATCCCTTTGAGCCCGGCGCTGGGATCCTCCGGGCTTTTCACCTTGTCCAAACGGCTCATCCCCGTCAGTGCAGGCAGCAGCTCTTCAGAACTGATCGCTCTGAGCTGTGGGGCTGACAGGAGGATGTCCAATTCAGTTAACAGAATTCCCCAGTTATTTTATATTCTCCCTTTAACTTTTCATGGCTTGCAGAGGCTGAACTTTTTCAGTCTTTCTGACTGTACGTGAGATCCATCCAGTCATTTGTTAAAACTCTACTGAAAGAGCCTGATAGATGTGTGTCCTTTAAAGCAGCAGCAGCAGCAGCAGCAGCAGCAGCAGTGCTGAGATGGAGCAGGACGGAGTGGCCCCTGGCTCAGCCATGGCCCTGCCGATAGGAGCTGCGGGGCGGACAGCAGAGGGAAGAGCGTGGCCGTGAATGTGTCATTCTCCTGACAGAGCATCCTGGCAAAACCACGGCTTGGTGCAGGGGACGGCACACCGGGGGTGAGGTAGGACCTTGTGTGCTGGGAACGGGTGTGCGTGCAGTGTCCCCTTTCCCCCAGCGCAGCACCGCGTGCTCCGGGCACAGAGCCGGCAGCAGTCGGGCACGGCAGCCCTGAGAGCCCCCGGAGGGACGGGCTCCATCCCACCCCTGTGAGGAGGGGAGCTCCTGGTGCCTGTGGCAGGCTCTGCCTCGTGCTGGGTTCTGTCCCCTGCCCTGGTTCCCGTGGCCGTGGGACCCCAGCGGGCACTCGTGGCACCGAGCTCGGCTGTGTGCTGTGCCCATTTCTGCCACGTGCAGCCCGGTCACTGCAGGCCTGAGGGACATGCTCCAGAATGAGCCCAAATCCCCCTCCTGAACAGAAACACACCACAGCTGGCTCTGTTGAGGAACAGAAACTGAAGGAGCCGTGGCACTGGGCGCTCCCGAGTGTGAGGTGTAGATGTTTTCAGGGAAGACAAGAGTCAAGCCCTTTGGCTGTGAGGGGTCTGGTTCGAGTTCAGCCTCTGGGCTCACATCTCAGAAAGCCTGAATTCAGTCCTCATTTCTCCAGGGGCGGGGAAACTCAACACTCAACAATCTCCTCTTTCCTCTTCAGGCAGCAGCAGACACCTGAATGGAGACTCCTCGTGTTTACAGCCTGGTCACAGGAGTGACTGAGACCTGAAATCTCCCTGACATCCTCTCTGGCCTCGTTTGTGCCACACCTGCTCCCTTCCGCTCGTGGAGCCTCCTACACTGCGCAGGACACAGGAAAAGCACTTGGAGATGGCTGGAGGAAGAAGGGGGCTTCCTGGAAAACGGTCTCTAAACCAGGCCCTTCCCTGTGCCCTGGCTTTTCTGGGGCTCACTAACATCAGTGGTACGTGCTCGTATCTCAGTTCTCCAGGATTAATTAAAAATCCACAGACAGTGCCATGCCCAGGGGCTTCGCAATTATGTCAGCAGGCTTTGGCTAAGGCCCTTATGTTTGTAATAAACATGGCATGCTTTTAACTGCTGGCATCTCCGGGTTTCTGTGTGCTCGGCCGTTGGGTTCTGCGTTCCAGGTTCCTGCTGGAGGAACTCTGTCACCTGCCCCGAGGCGGCAGATCTGAGGCCAGACGTGGTGTGCGCTGCTTGTGCGTCAGACACGGGTAATAACAGGTTCCGAGGAACTGTACCACTTAATAAAAGCATTTTATTACATTTAAATGTATTAAAATGTGAACATTAAATTCAACACGCTAATTACTGTTCTCAGGCATTGCCGCTGACGGGAAATGGATCCTCACAACTGCTCTGCTGAGACCGCTCGCTGCTGTTGCTGCTCTTTGGTTCCTGGTGTGTTATTAGTGCTCTGCACTTGGGACTGGAGTCATTAACAAAAAGGACTCGTGTTGGGCATTATGTAAATTCTCTGTATGCTTCCACACAGCCAGCGGGGCCTGTGGTATGTGTCTCATTGAGAAAAAGAAAAGCAAATGCATTTGGCTGTGCCCTGGCTTGAGGGTGAGCTCACTGTGCTCTCAGGGATCACCCAGGCACAGCCACAGAGAGGGAAAACCTCTTCCCAACACATCCTTGTGTTTCTGGAAATCCCTTTCCAGGAAAATTTGTCCCCCCGACCTGCTTGCTGCGTGTCCTGTGACACCCTACCACGGACACCAACAATTCCCGCTCCGTATGGAGTTTCCCACTTTTCTGGGAGCGAGGAGCTTCCCATCCCTGCAGCAGGCATGGGCAGCAGCTGGATCCATTGCCCTGGAAAAGTGGGAAAGCCTGCCAGGGGTCGGTGGTAGGTGAGGCCAGGTGCTCAGCTCCCTGAGGCCAGTCCCGCACCCTCTGGGATACGGCTACATCCCAGAGGAAAAGGGGGATGCTCAAGGACACGTGGCTGCCTCCCGAAATGAAAAAGGGCGTAAAGCCGTTCAGATTAGAGCACATCAATCCCTGCGATGGAATCGAGAGATGCTTTGGTTTGGCAGCTACTGGGGACAAAGCCACCATTTCTGTTCAAAGTGTACTTAATGCGACAGAAGGAGGCGGCTTCTTTTGACAGTTTTACAGCTCTTATCAGATTACATCAAAATTAAATTAAAACAATCTAAAAGAAGTGTGAAGTACTGTGGGGAGAACACAAACAAAACACTCCTCTTTGTAGGCTTTCAGGGAAGGGCCCACAGTCCTTATCAGGGATGGGAGGATGGAGATTATTCTTGAGTCAATTATGAGCCCGATGAGCACCGAGACATGGAACAAAGTGGGAAATACATCGGGGGACCAGGCTAAGGCTCCTCATTTCCCTATTTTTTGTTAAATAAATAGCAGGACGTTGAGCCCTGCCTGCAGTTCAACATCCCTTAGTCCTAGCCTGGGGTCCTCAGGGAAAAAAATCCTCCCAGGGCTGCCCAGGAGACCAACTAACTGTGCATCCCGATGGGTCAGGGGCCATCGGCCCCTTTCCACCACACCCTAAAACTGCAGCTTGGGAATAAAGGTTTGCAGTGGGCTGGGCATTTCAGACAGTGCTGGGAGCGCTAGGGAGTTTTGTACTGTTTGGGGTGTTCTTTTAGCGAGCACAGATATTCCTGAAAGCAGGCCCAGGTTTCACCTGCGGGCTCTTGTGAAGGTGTGAGGGAGATCTCCAAAACACAGCTCTGCCTTCAGTAAACAGAGGAAGGGGGGAGAACCGTCCTCATGGCGAGCCCACTCTATGGGAATGCAATCCTGAAAGGCTCCCAAGTCCTCTGCTGGGCATTCCTGGAGTGGGAAAGCTCTGATCAAGCCCATCCACGCTTTGTTGAGCCGGGTATTTCGGGGACACACACGGGGTCTGAGCCAGGCTAATCTGGCGACAGCTGGGCGCCACTACACCCGTTCCACAGAGCTTTTGACTCTGTGTTCAGATCTGTGGGGCTGAGCTGGAGGCTGCAGGTGTTGGAAACACCAGAAATGCTGCTGGATCACCAAACCCAGCCGAGGAACCCCAAAAGCTTCCGATCCCCCCACGTCCGGGGCATGTCCCCAGCCGGAGCCTCCAGCTCCGGCCGAGCTTTTCCATGTGTCGGTTCTTGGCCAGGAGTTCTAATGAAGGGTAATTACTGTGATGATCTCGCACTAATTGTACACTGATTGCTGTCCTAATTATGCTTGAGCATTTCACAGCTCTCCGCAATTTTGTCTATTGATGTATGGCTTCTCCTTCATTTCAATTATTCACGCGGCATTCAGATTTTATTGGGGGCCTGGAATTTAAGCGCTCATTTGGCAACTTCCTTTCAAAGGGATCAAAGTTTTTATCTGGAAATGAAAGGCGGGCGTTGTGTTTTCATTCTGCAGCTGGAGATGTGAATGCAGGGCTGGGGATGGCTGTGGCTTCTCCCACGTCAATTTTGGAGAGGTGGCAGCACCAGAGGGACACAGCGGCACTCCAGAGGACGAGCAGTCAGGGTGTTTTTTTCTTGAAAACCATTGTGTACAATAACCTCGGCAAAACCGAGCTGTGACTGTTCAGCAGCTCCCCGTTATTTTTTTGGACTGGCGCTTTGCAAATTTCTCCCTTTTCCAGGGACACGAAGCCTGCCTCGCCCCAGGTGCCCTCCAGCACCAAGCCGGGGGCGCAACACCCGCGGCAACAACGTGGTGGTGAGAGATGGGGTAACGACAAATAATGATTTTAAAAACTAATAATAAAAACGCCTTCCAGGCTCCCAAAGCGCCTCTGGGCGGCGCAGGCCGCGCCCGCCCGTCCCCATGGCAACGCGGGGCGGCACTTCCGGGGTCCCGCGCGGGGCACGCCGGGAACCGCACGTGGGCAGCGCCGGAAAGCGCGCGGGGCACCGGGAATGGGATCGGGATCGGGATCGGGAACGGGATCGGGATCGGGATCGGGATCGGGATCGGGATCGGGATCGGGATCGGGAACGGGATCGGGAACGGCACCGGCACCGGCAACGGCAGCGGGGTCGGGAACGGCACCGGCACCGGGCGCGCCAGGTGAGCCGGGTCCCCCGCGGGGCGGTCGGGGCTCGGTTCTCGCCCCGGGCGGGGGGACGCTTCCCCCCTTGTTCTCAGCCATCTCCTTTCCCTTCGATGCCCGAGCTCTGGAGCGCTGGGAAGCCGGTCGGCAGCTCCCGGTGCATGGAGCGGCCGGCTCCTCGGGCCGCCGGTCAGGCTCCCGGGCAGGGTCTGGTGCCGGTGCCCTGGGCAGCCTCGGGGGTGCCGGGCTGTGTCCGGCCCCGGGAGCCCTGCCCTGGGTGTCCCGGTGTGCCCGAGCGGCTGCTGCGGGCTGGCCCCGCCGTGCCGAGCCTCGCCGCCGCTCCCTGCGGATCAGAGACACCGGCTGCTCTCACATCCATCGGCTCCTTCCTCCCCTGGGTATCGGTGTTCTCCGCTCAGGCAGGAAAATCACCTGGAGAAGTGTAACGAACAAGATCTGGGGAGCGGGCTGTGCGTGGTGCAGGAGGAAATCGAAGGGATGGGATCCCAGGCGGAGCCTGGCTGTTGAATTGTGCACATGCCGGGGAACCCCGGTCCTGCTGCAGGCGCCGGCAGCATCACACGGCTGGAAGGGACGGAGCAGCAGGAAGGGCTTTCCCTGGCTCCCCTCTCTGCAGGGAAACTGGGAGGAGGTGTCTGTGTGTGTGTAGGGAGAGCCTAAATCCACGGAGAGCAGCGTCCAGAGGTGTTGGGGTGTGCGGTGTCCCCCTCACTGCCACACCTCGCTGCCTGGTGACCCCCGGTGCTGTTCCTGAGGAGGCACTAGGCTTTGCTGGTGGCAGGGCTTGCACTGGGAATCTGCTGCAAGCCTCTCCTGGCTCTTTTCTGGTTTTTGCTCAGGGGATGGCTGTTCATCCTGGGTGCAATTTGGAGCTGTCCAATAATGGCAGCTTCACTCTGCTCCCAAGCCCGCCTTCCCGATGGGCTGGCTTGAGGCGTGGGTGGCTTTGTGGTGCAGCACGTGTCCGTCACCATGCCCGGTGCCCTGGCACTGCTGGGGGCAGTGTCGATGGCCCCACGGGCTCTGGGCACTGCCAGGACTCCTGGTGGACATTAGTTCCTGCAGCAGTGCTGCCAGCAGGGCTCACCCGCCTCTGGATGGACGGGGCTTGGATGGCAAGAGGAAAACGTGAGCTGGTTTCAAGTTCAGTTCCTGAATGCAGTAATCCGTAGCAAGGCTTGGGGGCTGCCCACCGTGGGGCTCAGAGCCCCTCCTGGGCTGTCTGGGGTCTCTGGCTGCTTTGGTGGGTCCCATGAGGACGTTCAGGCGTCTCTTCCCTTGCCAGCAGCCCTGTCCCAGTGTGGAGCAGGGAGTGCTGAAAGCTCGGAGCTGTTCAGAGCTGGGCTGGCAGGTGGGTCTGTAACTCCCAGCAAATCTGACCTCTGCTCAGCAAGGACTGTGCCCAGCAAAACCCCCTCCTTGTGGCATTTAGAGAGCTCAGGTGGTGAAATGCTTTTACCTCACTGTATGTTGTTTGTTTTCTTCCAGTGGAGCCAAGAGGCTGGAATTAGGAAGGCAGAGGATGGAATGCACAATGGCTGATCCACACCTGTAAGCCTGTTTAAAAGCTTCTTGGGGGTTATTTTATTTCAGTTACAAAGGTTTCACTATCTTGGAATGCCTTTAGAATGTTGTCTTGAAGGTTTTTCAGTAATAATACATTTATATTCGTATGCTAAGTGTAATGCAAAATTCATGTCTTCAAGTTACTGAGGAAATCACTGCAGCGGGAACATGAATGCCTCATTCTGTGGATACTAAAATCTTGGGAATAGCCAACAGGCAGGTTGGCTTTATCCTGTTTCTGCAAAGTCACCACAGCTTAGTCCATGCTGGAGAACCCTTGGGTCTTAGAAAGTTGAAAGCCTTAAGAAGCCCTAGGGGATATTCCAGGTTCTGGCCCTTCTCCTTGGGTTCTTTCTGCAGCATCTGTTTAATATATTAATGATTAATGTATTTAATGTAAATTACATGGACAGTCTGTACAAAAAAACCCCAACAAACCCAAACCCTAAACAGCAAACCAAAGCAAAAAAAAACCCAAAAACACCACACCCAAAAGTCCCAGCAACCAGAGAGGACTGAGAAGTGTCACCCAATGTTCCATTCCTGTCCTCAAAGCTCCAGGGATGGAGTGCTGGGTGCTGTGGGAGCCCCTCTTCCGAAAGGGGCAGAAACACAAATTAAAACAAAAAAAAAAAAAGTCTGGACAGGTGGGGCAGCATCACATGTACTTTGTTTCCTGTTTTTTTTTTTTTTTTTAATTTGGTTTAATCTAACATGTTTAGAACTGCAGTTTCTCTGAACATCTTTGGGCTGCAGTTTCCCTCCTGGCTGAAATGGAGCTGTGGGCCAGGGGCATCTTGGGGTGCCTGTTCCCCTGTGTTGGCATTAGTGTGGCTGCCCTGGAGGCACAGGAAAGGTCAGGAAAGAGATCTGGCTGGGAGGGAATCTGGGCTGTAGGTGGGAGAGAGCTGGCTCAGATGGATTTCCAGTGCCCCTCTTGGTGGCACCATGGATTTAGGCAGCTGTGACAGCTCAGCCCTGGCGTTCCCGCTTGGGTGACTTCTGCTACAGTTTTCATTCTGATTTAATGGGCTAGGAGTGAGTAGCACATGACCCATTTAAAACACGGTTAGGTGAGATTTTTAACGTCTTTACCCTTTGGAGCACCAGAGCCCCCGTGTAAATCTGCGGGGAAGTGGCACACGGGTATTTATATAAATGCAGGTGTGCAGAAGAGCCGCTCTCCGCCTCTGTGGGGCCTGGGGCAGCTCCCCGCGGTGCTGCTGCGCGTGTCTGAGGCGGAGCGGCTGCGGCGGGTGCCTTTGGTTTGTTTCCAGCCCTTTGAGCGCCTGTTCTTTGCCCTGCAGGGTGAGGCAGAAGCAGCAGAGGCTGCAGAGGCAGCTGGCAGCGGTGGCGGCGCGGCAGCAGCTGGCCCTGCGCCGGAACCGGGCGCTGCGCCGCGAGTTCCTGCAGCTGGAGGCTGACATGGAAACCACGGGCTGGCGCAGCATCCGCAAGATGGAAGTAGCTTTCTATAAGACTTGGGCGTGGGTGTTGGCTGTTGTTGTGCAGGAATCTCCTGGCGTGTCCTAGAGCTGGAAGCAAGCCCCATCAGGGTCTGTATTTCGGGCTGTAGAACAGTCAGGGCTGAAGTACCCCGGGTTCAACAGATGCTGTAAGAAAAAGCCAAGCCCTCGGGGTTCTTGAATCACATTGTTATTATCGTGGTTGTTATTATTATGTTGTCATGCTGTGCCCTAAAGTACGGTTTGGGATGATGCAAAGTGAGGATTCCAGGTTTTTTAAGATGAAATTGTGCCATCCCCTTATGCCACTGATGCGTGGAGCCAGGTTTTTGGGGGAGCACAGTCTGCAGGGAAGGGAGTTCGTTCCTGCTCTCTAAGGGCAGTGGCAGTCCTCGGAAGCATTTGGCTGTGTTTATTCCTCACACAGCTATAGCCCTGGAGGTAGTGCCTGTCGGATCTGGTGACATTCCCACAACATCTTTTCCTGGCTGCAGTGCAGAAGCCCAGCAGTCAGAGCCTGTTCCTGGGGGGTGTGATTCCCCTGTTATTCCCCTGAGATTTTTACCTGTTATTTGGAGGGATTTTCCCCCTCGGCAGCAGTGGCAGGGCTGGTGGCTGTGACACCTGCTGCCAGGCCCAGTGCCACTGCCACGAGCTGCACGTGGGGCTTTTGTTCAGCCCTTCCATTCTGATGTTCCCGTGCCATCCGTTTTATCTTTGCCAGGTTACAGTTACTTTTTGGAGCCGCTGAACAAATGACATCTCCTCCGTGTTAGTTATGGAAAGCAGGAGAGTTATGGAGCGTGCAATCATTTAATCTATCATAGGAGCACGCAGAAGGAAATTATTGCTGTTTTCGCTCCTTTTTTTCCATAGAGAATGCCCTTTAGGAGTGCTTTATCACAACTCTGTGCACATTCATCACGTGGCTGTAGCTCACAAAACTCCCTTTGTTTCTGAAAGATGCACTTTTGCTCCCCGTGTTCGGTCAGTAATTTTTAGGAGTATAAATAAATTCACTTCAGCTTTCAGCAAAGTGCAGGAGTTACATCTGAGTTTCTTTTGAGCATCTCCACTCCTGACGTGGCGGGGCTTTGTTCCCCACGGTTCCACCTTGGTGATCTTCACCAAGAGCCCAGCCAGCTGTGAGGTGGGGATAGAAACAGGCTGTGGGGCTCGTTTCACCCCAACCCGAGTCGTTCCTGGAGGCAGCAGCAGGAGTTTGGTGTGACAGACACCGGCTGGGAGGCAGTAAACACGAGCCAACAAGTTATTGCTGTTCTGGAGGGCTGGGAATGATGGGCACGGGTAAAGGTGTGTGGAAGCCCTGCAGCAGGTTGTGTGCAGGCCACGCTGCTCGGGCAGGGCAGCAGAAAAACGAGGAGCAGACGAGATTGAGATGCTTCTCAATGCGGTCCGAGCTAAAAAGGCTGCGGGGGCTTTGCATTTAAAGGTGCACATTGTGCAAAGCGGCGTCCCTTGGGCTGGGGCGTGGGGAGGGGTCCTTGGGCTCCGTGTGACGGATTTGTTCCCTTTTAGGAATGGTACGGAAGGGAAATTAGAAGCCTGTTATCCCTCCAAGAGGGCAGCTTGTCAGCAGGAGGTGACGAGGAGGAAGGCTCCAGCGAGCAGGTAATGGGGGGGAAATGGGCTTCACTCCAGCGCCGCGCTCTCCTCGGAGCTGCGCCGCCTTTCCCCGGGGATTGCTCTGCCGGGGCGTGCGGGGTGAAATCGTGGGGAGTGCCTGGGAGAAGGAGAAGCACCTGGGTAAAAAGTGCAGCCGTTTCATCCAGAGAGCCGGGATCAAAAAAACCCGCGACCGTTTACGCACGTCGTGGTGTTGGCTTTGATAATTCCTGCGCGGCATGGCGTGGAGACGGTCGTGACCGAGGAGGAAACGTTCCTAATGAGGGATGTTTGCGGAAGCGCAGCCCAGGAGCCGTGCGCTGCCTTCGTAATTTCTGTGTGTTTTGACCTTTCCTCAGAAGGAGCAGAAGGAGATTGCATATCTAAGGAACAGACAAAAAGACTGGCAAGGAATACTTAAATATCTGCTGCCATATATCTGCAGTAATGCAGGCTCCTAATCCCCCCTCCTATCTCCATATAAATGATACAGTTCAAGACCAGAGCTGTTTTCTCCACTAAAAGCAGCAAAGCTCTTTCAGATGAAATGTCTAAAAACATCTTGTAATAACTTGGAGCATGCTGGCAAGAGTAGTCACTTGTGACTGTGTGTGGAAGCCCCTCAGCCAGGCGGTGCCGCAATGGGCAGGACGGGAGCATCACTCCATTACTGCGAGGAGCCGGCGGCACGCGCGTCCCTCAGGCTACAGCATTCATTAAGGAAAGCTTACTGGGCTGAAAGCTGGGAACAGATGATAACGGGATATGATTTTCATATTTAATGCATTCCTTGGAAGAGTGTGTGTGCTGCAGATTGATAGAAGAATCAACTGCTACTTTACTAAAAGACTTTCTAGTTTGCCCTATAGCTACCGATGGAATCATTCAGCCAAGAAATTAACTTTTTCCCCTTTTACCTGCTTTATGTATCTGCTAAGCAGGCTGCTGGCTGCCAGGGAATGTTATTATGCAGTTAAATGTTTGGTATTTAAGACTCTTATCAGAAAAGAAACAGAGGCCACACTATTTTGTTTTTATAGTAGGAGGAAGGTTTTTGGTTTCCTTTCTTCAGTGCATTAGCAGTCGTTAATCTGAGTTTATAGGAAGTTTTCCCCATAGATTAAAAAGTTAAAAACCTTGAATTTAGAGCATTCTTTAAACTGTAATACACAAAGCAGTGAACCCTAGCAGCCTTGACCTATATAGGCGGGCCCGTGGCAGGGTGCAAATTGTGGTTTGAATCGGGAGGTGTTGTGGGGAAAGGTGAGTTTATTTTGGAGTGTGAGCCGCCCAGTTAGGGCAGGCAGTCTGGGAGATGGGATTTCCAGCTGATGGAAAAGTTGGCATCAGTACTAGAGCATCAAAGGCTTGTGCTGTGACTTGGGGGTTGAAAAACTGGGCAGGTTTTGGGCACTATGGCACTGTGGTGTGTACCCAAAAATGTCAATTTGCGTGTCATAGTGGAGTGGATTGTGGATTCCTTTATCCCCTGTCCTCTTCCTCCTCCTCATCTCCCTCCTAGAACGCAGGGGTAACTTCAGCCACATTGTGCATTTTTGCCATGTCCCTGGGGTGTGTTTCAGCTCCTAATTCTGGGATTTTTTCCATTTCAAACGTGCTGGTTCTTCTGCCCGAAGCACAGGAGTTTGTTCTCAGTGCGGCGGCCCCGAGGCAGTCGCAGGGAGGGTGTGCAGCCAGCACGTGGGGTGGCCAGGCCAAGCCTGTGGAGCTGCTTTTATTTCCCAGCACTGGGACTGGGATGGCTCCCTTCAGGCTGCTTGGGATGCAGTGCCTGTGTCAGGACCCCCTCAGGGACATCTTGGGGACACAGAAGGGCAATCCCAGAACCAGCCTTCTACAGACGGGCAATATCCCAGTGCTCAAACGCCTTCAGGAATGTCTGGCACATTCCTGGGCCGCGGGATGTGTGTCCTTTTGGGCTCCCAGTGTCCAGGGGAGTCCATAAGCTCACAAGTCCCACGCTGAAGAGCTCTCCCCTGGCTGGCAGAGCTGTAGAGCCCAGGCTCCTGCATCCTCTGTGCTGGGAAGTCAGCTCGGAAGCTCTTCCTTGGAGCCCTCAGAAGGTTTTGGACTTGGGCATGCTGGAACCTCTCAGGAACACCTGGAGGCAGAGTGCCTTCCTGGGGAAAGGGATGGGTAGGGAAGTGTGCTGTGCCCGCTTGGAATCCATTTCTTTTGGATCACTGCATCCAGGAGCTGCCAAAGCCGTGCAGGACTGCCAGGAGGTGTTTGAAAGCACCAAACCCTCACCTGAGAAGTAATTAGGAGGAACCTGAGAGCTGTGGAATACACTGTGAGCTTAATCTGAGTGGCAAACCTTTACTACTGCTTAAAATGACCTCATGGCTTTTTGTTCTGCTCCTCGTTACGTGGAATTTGAGCTTTTTTAAGGAACCTTGGTCACAGAGCAGACAAGATGCCTTTGTTTCCTTTCAGCTGGGCTTGGCAGCTGGCTTGGTGTGGGAGGAAGAGGTCAGGCAGTGAAAGAGAGGGGAGAGGTGTGGAGGTGACTGAGTTGTGCTGCTGGGATTTGGGGCTGGAGGGGAAGCCCTGCTCAGTGTGAGCAGTGGCATTAGGGTGGCTCATGTTGGCTTTGCATAAACTGGCCGTGGTGGCAGCAGCCACTCCTCCTAAATGGTCCTGATTGAGTGGCTTTGCAGAGGAAAGGAGGCAAGGGTTAAAGCACTGGGATTTAGCAGCAGAGTGGCTGTCCCCCCGCAGCTGGTTTTGTTCAGCTGTGCTTGGAGGAAAGTGCCATTCAGAATGTGTCTGCTCCTTGTCACTGGTGGGAAAGGCTGCCATGGGAAGAGCAGGAGGCAGACAGACAGTGAAATGGAGTTTTGCCATGTTCTGTGGTGTGAGGGAGGCTGGATCTGCCGGGTGATTCACACTGGAACACACTGGAACATGGTGGTGCCTCTGGGCTCTGCGCCCTGTGGGCACCTCTGGATGCGGTGCTGTGGTCCAGGCTCTCCAAAGCTGTGGAGGATCCTAATCCCAAAGGTTTGACTCTTTGTGAAGTGCAGTCACCATTCAGAAGGGTTTGGGTCCTTCTGGGTGTGTGTGGGTTCCTTTTGGCTGGGCTGGGGGTGCAGGCAGCTTCTGCCACTGGGTGTTGTGGCTCCTGGAATGAGCCTGGGCCCTCGTTTCACGCTGGGATGTGCGGAATGTGTGCCAGGGGTTGCGTAATATCAATGCCACAGCAAAGTCTTGAACTCTGTGACGCTTTTCTCTGCAGAGCCCAGCATGGCACCCTCGAGAAGCAACGTGTGCCACACACAGTTTGTCTCCTGTTTGTCTCCTTCAGCCATGTCCCACTGTGTGTTTCAGGTGCTGCAGGCTGGAGGACAGGCAGGAATTGGCACCAGTACAGCGTTGCCAGGAGAACTGGGCCGTCCAGGAGCAGAACTGGGCCGTCCAGGAGCAGAACTGGGCCGTCCAGGAGCAGAACTGGGCCATCCAACAGCAGAACTGGGCCGTCCAGCAGCAGCTGCCTCAGCCCCAGGAGGTTTGGGCTCACAGCAGGAGCCCCCTCTGCGCTCCCCGTCCCCAGAGTTGCTCAGTCCCGACACCGGGAGCACTGCTGGAGAGAGTGAGGAGGAGCACGGGGACCTGGCCGCCAGTGAGGAAGGCTCTGAGCAGCTCACCTCAGCTTCCTCAGGTGCCAAAGCAGCCCCCCTGAGGCCAGGCCAGCGGCAGGGAAGCGTTCCAGGTATGGCAGTGGGATGTGTCCTGTCTGCCGTGCCCATGGCTGCTGTTCCTCCTGCTGCACCTCTGGCACTGTGCTTGGAGTGTGGTGGCTCTTGCTCCTCCTTTCCCTCTCTGTTCCTGTCTTCCTTTCGACTCCCTTTCCTCCCAGGCTGCTCAGCGGGACAGGGAAGGGCGCTGGGGGCTGATCCTGGCCGGGGGCACTGTGAGGGAAGATTTCCTCTCTGCTGTGCCCACAGAGGCCCTGGTCAGTCTGAGCCTCATCTGAAGAGGTTTAATGTGAACCTGCTTCACCAGAGCAGTCACTCCTGGCTCAGGCTGGTTGCCTCCTCCCTCAGAGCTGGTGCACGACAGCAGGGTGATTCCCCCAGAGCTGGGAGGTCAGGGAGCCGGGCTCTGTGCCCAGGTGGGTTTTGAAGAGTGCCAGGTTTGTTCCCAAACCCCACAGGCTGCAGCTCCCTGGACTCCTCCTTGTGAGAGGACCATGGAAGGACAGGGGCGAGGGCAGGGAAGCCCACAGACAGGAGTGGATGGATGGATGGATGGATGATGGATGGATGGAGGATGGATGGATGATGGATGGATGGAGGATGGATGGATGATGGATGGATGGAGGATGGATGGATGATGGATGGATGGAGGATGGATGGATGATGGATGGATGGAGGATGGATGGATGATGGATGGATGGAGGATGGATGGATGATGGATGGATGGAGGATGGATGGATGATGGATGGATGGAGGATGGATGGATGATGGATGGATGGAGGATGGATGGATGATGGATGGATGGAGGATGGATGGATGATGGATGGATGGAGGATGGATGGATGATGGATGGATGGAGGATGGATGGATGATGGATGGATGGAGGATGGATGGATGATGGATGGATGGAGGATGGATGGATGATGGATGGATGGAGGATGGATGGATGATGGATGGATGGAGGATGGATGGATGATGGATGGATGGAGGATGGATGGATGATGGATGGATGGAGGATGGATGGATGATGGATGGATGGAGGATGGATGGATGATGGATGGATGGAGGATGGATGGATGATGGATGGATGGAGGATGGATGGATGATGGATGGATGGAGGATGGATGGATGATGGATGGATGGAGGATGGATGGATGATGGATGGATGGAGGATGGATGGATGATGGATGGATGGAGGATGGATGGATGATGGATGGATGGAGGATGGATGGATGATGGATGGATGGAGGATGGATGGATGATGGATGGATGGAGGATGGATGGATGATGGATGGATGGAGGATGGATGGATGATGGATGGATGGAGGATGGATGGATGATGGATGGATGGAGGATGGATGGATGATGGATGGATGGAGGATGGATGGATGATGGATGGATGGAGGATGGATGGATGATGGATGGATGGAGGATGGATGGATGATGGATGGATGGAGGATGGATGGATGATGGATGGATGGAGGATGGATGGATGATGGATGGATGGAGGATGGATGGATGATGGATGGATGGAGGATGGATGGATGATGGATGGATGGAGGATGGATGGATGATGGATGGATGGAGGATGGATGGATGATGGATGGATGGAGGATGGATGGATGATGGATGGATGGAGGATGGATGGATGATGGATGGATGGAGGATGGATGGATGATGGATGGATGGAGGATGGATGGATGATGGATGGATGGAGGATGGATGGATGATGGATGGATGGAGGATGGATGGATGATGGATGGATGGAGGATGGATGGATGATGGATGGATGGAGGATGGATGGATGATGGATGGATGGAGGATGGATGGATGATGGATGGATGGAGGATGGATGGATGATGGATGGATGGAGGATGGATGGATGATGGATGGATGGAGGATGGATGGATGATGGATGGATGGAGGATGGATGGATGATGGATGGATGGAGGATGGATGGATGATGGATGGATGATGGATGGTCCCTCACACAGGGTGCACAGTGTGGGTAAGCTTGGTTTCAGCCCCTGTGATCTACTCCATGGCCCTGCTACTGTTTTGAGAAGAACAGTTACAGTTTTTATATGTTTGATTCATTATGTTTTGTTGTTCTTTCAGGGGTAGAGCCCAGCCTGAGCAGCTGGTGGGCTCACAGGGAAGGGAGCAGAGCCAAGCTCCCACTCCCGGCCGCTGCTGAGCAGGAGACCAGGCCGAGCGTCCCCGGCACACGGCAGGAGCAGGGCAGGGATGCCCGGGCTCCGGAGGGCTCCCTGCTGCCCCCAGCCAGCCCTCCCACGGCCCAGGAGGAGCCCTTGGACATCTCAGCACCACACAGGTACCATCTCCCTGTTTCCTGGGTCAGCTGGGCTGCTCGCTTCCCGAAGCTCTCACCGAGTTCTCCCCCATCCTTGAGTACCTTGGACCTGTGCTGGGCCCTCAGGGCCCTGGGGCACCTCGCTGGGGGCACAGCTGGCAAGTGAAGGATTTGTTGCTAAAGTGCAGATGATGTTCTCTAAATGTACACAAATCTTACTCCAGTCTCTCTGCGTGGTCAAACTTCCAGGGGTTGTTGAACTGTCTGAGCATTTTGTTTGGAAACAAAGAGAGGACGAGGCCAGTGAGCCGCAGACACAGGGCCTGTCCTCTGCTGCCGTGTGTCAGCAGCAGGATTCTGTGGCCAGCAGGGTCGAGCAGGCTGTAAATCCATCCCGGCAGGATTTTCAGCCCCGCAACGCCCTCATGAGACGGGGAAGTGCATCCCTGTGTCGGCAGGGAGATGGTCACCGGGAGGGCTGCAGGGGGACATGGTGCAAAGGAAACAGCGCTTCTGCCCCTGGAGAAGAAGCGCTCCTGCAGGAGCACCCTCTGCTGCCACAGGAGTGCTCTTGTGCCAGGGGCTGGGCTGTTTGCAGCGTTCCAGCCTGCTGCTGCTGTCCATTCCCGGCCTGGAGTGCGGCTGTGGCTGCTGACACCTGGCCAGAAACTGGGGGCCACCGCAGACACCCCTCTAACTTTATCCTCTGCCATTTGCATGGGGCTGTCGCTCGCTATGGAAACATCATCTGATTTACATGTAAATAGCTTTCCCCCAGTGCTCCCTTTGTATCCCACCTGTTAATCACAGCAGAGCAGGGGAGAGCCCGTCTCTGCAGTTTAACCTTGTGTTCCCTCCCGGCGAGGCCTCGCCGTGCAGCGCCTGACGAGCGGCTCTCGAGGCCCCTGGAAATTATCCACAAGGTTTGAGCGCCTGCATTGTCCCCGGGGCACGGCCGGGCCCGCGGCACACGGCTCTCCTCCCGCTGTGCCACGCTCAATGCCTCCGCTTCTCAAGGCCACGCAGGCGGGATCGCCGCTGCTGCGGAAAACGTGCAGCTTTTCATTTAATCAGCTGTACCCGAAAACCAAAGGGCAGGAACGGAGGAGCAGCCCTTCCCTTGTCGTGCTCACAGCCAGGTGGGCTTCCCAAGGCACCTGGAATGCAGCGTGCACACTCCAGCCTTGCAAAATTAACCGGCCAAAAATGTCGTGGAAAGGCTTGTGAGTGATTCGTAGGTGAATTTCGATTGTGTACACAGAGTACGGGAATGCAGCTTCCTCTGCTCTGTCACGACGGGGAGTCACAACATGTGATGTCCTTCCAGCCCCCGGGGTTTTCTCTTGTGCAATTCCTGTGCTGGCTGAAGAGACGTGCTGAAATTCACCACGTTCTGTGTGTTTGTTGCCTAAAGCTGAAATGTCTGTAGCTTGGACTGTGCCACTGCAGCAGCGCCCGTGCGGCATCAGAAGGAAGCACCGATCACACACTTGTGGTGAATTATCTGAAATGAGTACAGGGGATGGTGTTGGAAGGAGCAGACACCTCTGGCTGACTCCAGAGGCAGAACCAGTCCTTGTTGTGTGCCAGGAAGCCACAGGTTTTCATCTTTGGAGCAAATGCCTCTCCTGTCCCACTGCAGAGATGCCAGCCTCTGTTTTTTAAGGAGTTTTGGGTTATTTCCCCGCAGTGGAGTGTTGGCAGCCAAGGAAAGGAGGTGCTGTTGGGAAAGGCGATTGAGCAGAAGGTTTGCATGCTGTTGCAGGTCACACCAGGGGCTGCAGCTTTGCTGCCTCGCTTGTGTCCTGGTTTAGGGTTAGCTCACAGCCACGGGAACAGCCAGGGATGGGGTTCGGGGCTCCCGAAGGCTCCTGGTGTCCCCTCCCGTGGAGCTGCTGAGCCAAGGGGAAGGGCTCCGTGTCCTCTTACCATTCCCTGCAGCACCCAGCCCTTTCTTTGAGGGCTTAAACCCGGGGGGCGGGAGGCGGGGGGAGAGGGTCTCTGAGAATTAGTGTGGAGAAAGATGATGACTATTTTAAGGCCTGAGCTGAGGGGTTGGAAAAAGGCAGAGCTTATGCCTGTGCTGCTTCAGCTGCATTGAGGAGGACTTAGCACAGATGGATTGTGCATTACAAAATGTAACACATAATTCAAGCTGTCAGCTTAATCAGACTGTTTCCAGGAAGCAACCTGTAAAAGAGAAGGACCTCTTGTTTGCTGACCTCTGATCCGTAGCCTGCTGCAGATTGTCATACATTTTGTTTTTCTTTATGTTGGTGTCCCTTCCTTCCCCTTCCCTTTTTATTATTGTATCCCTCTCGAGTGGCACCCTGGAAGGACCACCCAGCGGGAGGAAAACAATGGGAAACGAGCCGGCCGCTGGAATACAGGGTTTGTAAGGCTGGGGGAAAAGAGAAAGCACTGTTTAACTGCCTATGTGATCTCCCTGGCATTGTTTTGCTTATTAAATGTCTAGGAAACTCGACTAAAGACACAGCAGCCCCCACTTAATTGTTCACTGTTGCCCAACACTCGGAGGGAAAACAGAGCCTTGGGCGCAGCTCAGCACGGGCGAGCAAATGCTGCGGGTTTTTGTGCACAGGGCTTCTCCCTGGAGGCAGCCTAAGCCAGGGTTAACTGTGGAAACATGTCAGCTCCTGCCTGGGGGGGAAAGAAAGAAAGAAAAGTCTCTTTTGCCCCAGCTGCGGTGTTCATTGCCGGCCGGGACCTGGGCTGGGAGCCGCACAAAGCGGCAGCGGGGACCTGAATAGCCATTTACACCTCTGGCCCGGGATTAGCCCGCGGCATTGTTTCAGCGCTTAAGTCCTCATTTGCATCATTATGGAGGTGCAGCCTCATCAAAACCCCTCTGAGGTCCCAGGGCTGTCCCCATACCTGTAGGTGGCCGGCGGATTTGTTTGGCTGCGGAGGTGAAGGAATGAAAGCGCTCGGCGCAGTTTCCGTGCGGCGGCTCGGCCCGGGCTGGTTTTCGGATGGTTTGTTTTGCTCGTGCCCTTTTTTCCTCTCCCCGCTTCGGACAGAGCTCGGGAAGGTGTTTGTGCCGTTTGCTTTGGAAAGCTCACACCAGGCTGTTTGTTTTCCCAAGGGTGCGATGGGAACGCTCTGGCAGCCCTGTGTGTCTGTGTGTCTGTGTGTCCATCCGCAGCCCCGAGGTTCTGCCGAGCGATGGGAACGCTCTGGCAGCCCTGTGTGTCTGTGTGTCTGTGTGTCTGTCTGTCCATCCGCAGCCCCGAGGTTCTGCCGAGCGATGGGAACGCTCTGGCAGCCCTGTGTGTCTGTGTGTCTGTGTGTCCATCCGCAGCCCCGAGGTTCTGCCGAGCGATGGGAACGCTCTGGCAGCCCTGTCACCCTGTGTGTCTGTCTGTGTGTCTGTGTGTCTGTCTGTCCATCCGCAGCCCCGAGCTCCCGCGGCTCTGCCGAGCGCTGCAGCTCCTGGAGCGGCTGGTGGAGAGGACGAGCCCCCGGCACCGGGCGCTGTACCAGGGCCAGCCCTCGGGGACAGCGGAGCCGCCCAGGTGAGTGACAAACGGCCCGTGCCAGAGAAACACGATAAACGGAGCAAAGGGAATGCCCACAACTCGGCTGTTGCCAAATGCAGCGGCAGAGAGCCCTGGCTGTCCTTCCTCAGCCTCGAACACCCCTGGGAACTGTCGGTAACGTCACTGACAGCGGCGCACAGCCTCCACAGACTGCGGCTCTCACGGGCCCTGCGTGATGGGGGATTCCTCGGGAACGAGGGAGAGCGTTCCCAGTGAGGGGGAGAGGGTTCCCAGTGAGGGGGAGAGGGTTCCCAGTGAGGGAGAGAGGGTTCCCAGTGAGGGAGAGAGGGTTCCCAGTGAGGGAGAGGGTTCCCAGTGAGGGAGAGAGGGTTCCCAGTGAGGGAGAGAGGGTTCCCAGTGAGGGAGAGAGGGCCCACAGAGGGGGAGAGGGGTCCCAGT